ATACGCTGGGATAAAATGGCAAACAGGATAACAAGATTGGGAGCTTCTTTCCTCATAGAGGCATATGCCTGTGCCACAGCTCCCATTGCCTGCAGCAGGCTTATGGGTGAGGAAGAAGCAAGTGCCCTTCCTTAGGTGACAATGCCCAACTTTACTGTTACAGCAAGATACCTGCGTGTGCCATGGCGGACAGACGTACTGCACCCTGTCCCGTCAAATGACTGACTGTCATACCCCGCTGACTTCACTCAACTTCTCTGCAATAGCTGGTGTTCAGTCATGCACGCTTCATTTCAGGGCTGCAGTCTAACTTAGTCTAAAGTTAGTTCAGCGTATTCCGAACAAAGTGAACGGGAATTCAGCCCACAGGTAGCGGTGTGTATGTCTGAGGGTGGAATCTGGTTCTTAGATGGCTTCTAATGATTTTTTTGAGTCCAGCTAAAAATTGGCTGTGTATGTTCTATACATCACTGTGACTAAAGGAAGCAAAGGGAATGGAGCACATTACCTCATTTCTTAAAACTTGTAAGATCAAAGCTTGTTCTGAAGGATTGTATGTCTGAAATACACCACATTCTTCTGTTGGCCTGTGTATTTTCCACTGGTGAAAAGCTTTTTCTTAGCGTTTGAAAGCATATGGTGTTTGGAAAATAGCTGCATTTCTGCACCGGGACATTACATTCTCATTTATTTGGTCTGCAAAAGTCTTAGTTGGGATCAAACACACTTTTGTCTAAGTCTAAGCCCTCTGCTCTGGCTACTCTGTTAACATTCAGTAGGGTGACTTCAAGCCGGTAAGTCAGATGTGAGTTAAAGCCGGTAAGTCAGACTCGGCTAGGCCAAGCCAAGAGGTTATTTTCTGGCCTTGCTTGGCAGTCGACTCCGGGAGCGCTCTGCAGCAGGAGGCCTCTGCCATCCAGTGCCGGCCAGGCCCACGCTGTCATCAGTGCACAGGCTCGTTCCTAAACGAGTTCAACCTTGAAACAAGTAACGTCAAGGGACTTCGGAGAACAAGCCCACGACCCTTTCAGGGAAGGAACATAGGTGTTGCCTGCTTGAGGCAGGTGGGAGAACTGGACCCAATTGCGCAATGTGTAAGTGTGTTCTAAAAAATACCCTGAAAAACGGGATTATCATTGGGTCTTCCTCAAAGCTGGCATCAGTTTTTCTCCTGATAATAACTAATATGGATGGGTGACTAACCTGAATTAGTGCTTGCCTTGGTTGGTGGTCTACACTGCATACTGGCTGCAGCCATTTCAGTCAAGAGGAAAACTAATAAATTTAGATCCCGTCTTCAGTTTTCAGTGAAACTCAACATGACTGCAGTGGCCATCAGATAATAAGGAGCACATGAATCCATATATACGAGGCCATATCCTCTCTACTTTAATTCATATTCATAAAAATAGCAAGAGAACAATATAATAATGAATTGTGTTAGTGATGTGGTGATGGAATTATGCAGTTAAATCCCACCGATTTGTTCTCAGATAAATGCCAAAAGGCACAAAAAGGCTGGAGGAGAGGTGCTGTTGGCATGCCTGTATATGTCCATGCTCTTCACAAGAATGCCTGCAACACTACCAGAGCTGTAATTGTGGGAATCTTTATTATACTGCAACACAAACAGTGGGATGCTAATAGTTCCCCGGGCCTCGCTGATGCTGTGAAAGCTGCATTCTTCTC